AATCAAGTTTTCTCTTAAGCGGATTCCAGCGTGATGCTTTTGCAGACTTTTAACAAATTACTTTTATATATTTTTATTTGCTGCTTGTTTTCGTTTTTAGCTCACTTTTAGATTTATTCAGTATTGATATCAAAAATGAAGTACCTTGTAATAATTTTTCATATTCTGTGCATGTACATATAATGTAAACACTTAAAGAAATGTATGTAATATAAAGTCGCTGGTAGACTCAATATATAAAAAACAGGATAGGATTTTGAAAAATTCAAACTCTCAGAGGGTGAATTAATGTGTTACAGATTGTAGGACACTTTTTATTATACGGGGCGATTTCATATTTGTATGGTAAAAATTTACATGTTTTTTTGCTACTTGAAAGATGGTACAACTGGATTAAAATACTTTTTTATAGGATAGGGGACAAACGAGCATATGGTCCACCTGATATTATGTGACTACCGCCGCCCATGAACAACTGCAACACCAGGGGAATTGCAGGTGCGTTGCCGGCCTTTTAGAAAGGAGTAAGCTCTTTTATTGAAGGTCCCTAGATCGTATCAGTCCGTAAAAATCGCCGGCGGTAAATTATTCTACAGAGAGGTCGTACTCGAAAGAAAACTCCTATTGAAACGTACAGTGGTTGATCAATTCCGGTCGTTTTTTCTCAATTTCTTGCTTGCGTCTCATTAGTTGTTGTCAGCAGAGATCCGAATCGCTGGTTATGCCCGGCGGTACAAGCCCGTAATAAACGATGCCTTTTCAATCCCACCATACACACAGCGTCAATTATTGCGTGTTGATCCGGGTTTCGCTACAGTCTGTAGACCTTGACTACCCTTTGACCATAATCTTTTTCGCATGTTCTTGTCGTACGTGATCCAATTTTCATCACCAGTGATCAATCTTTTTAAAAACAATCCGTCAAGCATCCAGATGGTGTGGATGGTATCTGGAGGTTTGTCGCGTAGTGCGTTAATGAAACTTGGCGGCTGGGATTAATTCGAACAATTAATTCCTTAGAGCACTCTCCGTGCGAAGAGATACAACATCCTTACGCAGCGCCAGTGAATCGAGCCGATCGGAAAGCACTCGGTGGTCGACGATTCGAGCCGCTCTGCGCTGTATGCGGTCAAGTGGAAGGAGCTGGCACTAAGGAGCTCCAGCCCAGAGAAATACGCATTTCTTAAATTTTTCGAAAATCTAACCATAACGTGTTAATATGAGGTTATAATGTTTATGTGGGATGGCTTTCTAACTTGAACTTATTTATGAATAATACTTACTTTAGAACTTCACAAAATCTGCCCCTATTCACTCTTAAAATATGGATCGATAAAAATTTGTAGACTTAGAGAAACACGTTTTTCAGTATTTTAGACAATTCTACCCTTAAGTGGGTAAAATTAAAATTGAAATATTGTTTGAAATTCTTTCTTGTTTTAATTATATCCTTGACAATACTTTTAATAGCTTTCGATTCGAAAATTAGTAACACGTATTTAAGGATTTTTGGATACTCCACCCCTAACGGTGAAATAGAAAATGAAAGCTATTACGAAATTGTAAACCATTTTGATGTGGTTTTCAATTTATCAATATATCATTTGTTGTACACCATTTAGTGTAAGTTTCAGGATAATTGGGGGCTTACACTAAATGGCGTACAACAAATGATTTCAACAGTCATCAAAATTTCAACAAGTGATTTCTTTAAGACGCAAAGAAATTTCCCAACTAATGGCAACTAATGGCAAGGACGAATGTGACGTCCATTATATAATAAAGTTAAAATAATAATAAAAACACACGATGATGACACGAAGTATGATGGGCATTATATGAGTTTCAAGATATTTGAAGGAACAAAAAGCATTGCCAAGGCGAATATGAAGAGGCAAGAAGTTCCATAAGCTTACAGCTGTAACAAGAAAATAGTTCATTAAAGGTGAAAGTATGAATGTACTGTACGAATGTATGTACGTATGTACGAATGAATGTATGAGAGTACGAAGAGGCAGATTGTTAAAGTGGTTTTCACTATTCGAAATAGTTTAGTCCAACTTAATACCTGCGATCATTGGTAAACATTACGTTGATTTAGCAACAATAAATAGGTACGATTTTACTTAAATAAAATTAAAATTAACAATGAAGAAACTACTGTTATAACATAGTTTTAATCATCGATTAGTACTTTTTTGATGCCAGCCATCGAGGCTAAGAAGAGATTTAATTTGCTATGGTATTTCTTATATTCGTATAATGCAAACATTCTTGCTAAGAAAAATGTGATCTTAAATTGGTTCGTACTTGGAGTGCAACAAATAATTTATTACGGGATCTAGGCCATCGATTTAGCATATAAAAATTTTCTTTACTAACGAAGCTCTCATCCCCAAACCACATGAGATAGATGTAATGCCCACAACCACTACCATCACTCCCCCTTTCTAAAAAAAAATCTTACTAAGAAGATTGATACCATAGATTTAGTATAAACTGACGTTAGAATATATTGGCTATGCAAAAGAGAAAGAGCATAGTGTAAGCGTATGTTAGAGCAAGTAAGATAGGCTGGAAAATTCACGTACACGTTATTGGCCTGGCGTCATTCGTGAACAAAAGAAATCCTGCTTGCGTTTTCGAAATCTGAAGTCATAAAGTAAAACGTAGTGTTTGATAGACCTAATTAATTATACTAAGTGCGTGGTACCGAAATATAACTCACCTTAGAAACAAATCTTACATTATTACGAGGGTGACACTGAAACTTCTTAGAAAATGAAAAACTGAACAAAGCAGCAAGTTAATATATCTTCAGTAGTGTCTATTTATCAATATATCGCTGCATCCGATGGAACCACTGAGAAAGTCCTTTGCCCTCTCATCTTTAGGGGTCTCTTCGATGGCATTTTGAAACGCAGCCACTGCTTCCTCGGCGTCCATTACACGTTTTCCTCGAAGTTTTTCTTTACTTTCGGAAATAAATAAAAATCGCAAGGTGCGAGGTCGGAGCTGTAGGGCAGATGACCCAGTAATTCCACGTCTGACGTCGCCAAGTAGTCGATTGTTTGCTTGGCGGTGTGCGACGAGGCGTTGTCGTTGTGAAAGAGAATCCTACTGCGAGGTCATTTCTTCCGAACTTTTTCCAAGACAAGTGACAAACAATTGTTAGTGTACCATTCTGAAGTAACTGTTTTTGACCCTCTAAAATAATTGTTGGTAATGCCTGTCCTTCCGAAGAACGATGCCGCCATCTTTTTTCCCACGCCTTACCCTATCTTCACTTTAGTTGGCAACTCCTCGGAAGGAAACACCCAGACAGCAGACTGTCTGCTGTATGGTTGTTTCATTTTTACAATAATTATAATTAGTTCTCTTTGAAGGGTTTTAAAAAATTGACATTGTAGGATATTTTGGTTTTAGTTATTAACATTCAACGACGAGACTTACGTTTCGTTTAAAACAAAAGCTTAAACTAATATTACTTTATACATTTAACATTTTTATAACATGTATTTTAGGAATGTCTAGAATAATTTTAATTACTTCTTTTATTGGATACCCAGACATGATATTACAATATTTATTTAATTATTACAGCCATTCAGCGACGAAATGCAGCTAGCGTTCTTGGTACAATAATGGGGAGTAGGACTTATGATAATTTTAGTTTTCAGTTTTAGTTTTTCTTAATAATATATGTACCTTTTTTAATATTTTATGTATTTTAATGTTTAATTATATGTCTGCAATAAGCCACCATGTTAGTTTTATGTGACTTCATACAGCATAAAACTCTCTAAAGGGCATGATGCTTTTAATGATATCTAATTTGTAAAAATAAGATGAGTAGATTAGCAGATCTGAGGGAACAGATGAACATGCATACATACAAATCCTTCTAAAATTGTAATTAACTTTTTGGCTTCGCCGTAGTTGGATAAAAATATTCACTTGCATAATCTGTGTCAAATCAGAAGACACGAATATATTGCAATCGGTATCGATAATAGAAATTAAGGCAGCCAATGCATGCAGCATTATTCGTCACCACACAAGCACAATATGCGCACACTGTTTTATTTTGATTTTGATCTCGCCCTGATCACTTCGTTGCTAAACCTTACTATACTATATCTATTACTGAGACAGTCTAACAAACCTGTTACTAATTTCTTTAAAAATCACCAAATCTATAACTGTTCTCGATTCCAATTATGGGATCTTAAAATAATGCAAGTACGAGTCAAGTGCCACAGAGACTTTTTCTGTACTCTATCAATGCGGTCCGTATGTATTCTGTACTCAAACTCCACTGCAGTACTCCAGGCGACACCTTACTGTAGATTTGTACAATATTATTATTGAGGCTGGTTTTTAAAATTCCTACTCTTCCTTAGTAAAACCCCAAGGGTCTTTGATGCTTTCAGTATTCATATGTAAATCAAATTCAAGTTTTGGTTTCTAATTACATGAACTTCTTCGAGCAATTCGTTACATTATCACTCCGAAGTATGAAAAAATGACCATGCGATAGATTCCGTATTATGCGAACTCCTTATAAGTGTGGGTCCAGTACTTATATAAACTTATTAAACCTATTATATTCTGTTGAATCTATTGAACTGAGACCTTGCCAATAACAACTACCACGCTTGGTAGATGGGTTGGCAACTGGAATTTCTTAATATTTTGAGTTTACCTCTGTTGCTTCTTACACGGCATAAAATATGTATTATTAACCCAACGACACTATAGGTATAAAACCACAAAAATCAGTTTTTGTTAAAGCTAACTTCGGATTATGTTTCCGTAGCAGCATTAACATTTGCCAAACATGATCAGTTTTCTCAAATTTGTTGGTGTGTGATTTCCGAGAAATCAGTGAACAATCATAAGAAAACATGCGCGAAGAATATATAAACTTCTCGTTTTTTGAAATCGGTTGGTTAAGAACACATTTGGTATGATGTTAATACACTTATTTCTTTTTTTAGCTAATTTGCTCCGTGAGGACCAGATGGAGGAACATATAGCAGAGATTCGATCTCATTTGCAGTTCCTCGATTCTTTATACAGAGCAAGACAAGAAGACTTGATTGCTTTGCAAGTAAGTGCTATTTTTGAGTCTGCTATCGAATGTTTGATTATTTTTAAATGTTTTAATTACACAGTGTGTTGTAATGAAAAAGCTCTAGACGTCATTGTTCGCTTTCTCTAAGGGTTGTTAAATAACATTTAAATTATTATAATATCGTTAATGCTGCAGTGGAATAGCTATGCAACCAAGTGCCCCGGGGTAAAACCCTATTTAAACTAAACTGAAAACCTACTTTGAAGGTGCAAAACTAATTATTCAACAGCTTCTTACAGCCCACTGCAGAGCATAATAAAGCAAAGTTACTATTAAGTATGTGTAAGGCGGCAGATACTGATACTGATTTTTAATCATACTTGCTAATACATATATATATATATATACATATATATATATATATATATATATATATATATATATCGAGAATATTCTGAGTAACTGATCCATCTATCAAAGCACATCCCAAACCGCATTACACACTATTTGATAGTAACTGCCTTTTATAACGTAGGCGTCCACTAAGAAATCATTTAAAAAAATTCTATCTCTATGGGGATAACATAGAGTGTTATAGTTAGAATGAACCTTTTAAATTTACGGGGCGATTAACTTGAAACTTTTAAATGTACTCTGTATATTACATGGTAGAGCCACGCTGAAGCTATATTATGGTTGTAGCACTAATGAGTCGGCTCGACCGGCGTATATCACGCTTTCCCATAATACCAGCGTAAAGCTCAAACCGCAGAACGTAGAAGCATGAAAATATTACAACATAGTTTCATTTTATTAGGTAGGTAATGAACTAAGATGAGATTTTGAAAAATTCAAACTCTCAGAGGATGAAATAAGTTGTTAAAGTTTGTACGGCACTTTTTCTTTTACGGGGCGATTGACTGTTGAGTACTTTTAATTTTATTATTATACTTTTACTTTTATATTTAGAGTATAAAATTAAATGAATACGTAGTTTTCTACTTCTTTTAAACTACACAACCAACAACGAATTTCAACACGTTTTTCACTGACATTTAGAAATGTTTTATGGAAGGTTGGTATGTACAATACATTCTAATTAAGTTTGAATAGTAGAAAAAGTTCAGTATTTTTAATTAAGTCGTCAAAAATCGATATTAAGGCGCTTATTTCGCTGGCTAAACTTTAAGAGATAACCCGAAATAATGTACTAAGGAATCGTAGTTCTTTTAAAAGTCTAGACCAAAAGTCCGCGCTAGGATATGTTTATCTGCTAAGTTTGACTCACAGTTACCATTTTTATCTTTGAAATATTTATTAAAAGTATTTTCTTATTTGCGAAAATGTTTTCTCTAATTCAGTATTAATATTCATCTTAATTAATATGTGGGTTAACTTGGGCATTTCATCTTAATTAAAATTATCCCTTGAATTATACCATTTAAATGAATACTTTAAAAGATATCATAGTTTCAAAATTACGTGCAACAAAAAGAATCACATCCGGCACGTCTCCGCCGCGGCCTCCTTCGTTTCAGCACATGAAACATTTTATGATCAGCTATGATCCCGTGGGATAATTTTAAATGTCAAACAATGACAAAGTAGATTACAGTTAATATTTAATATTGGTACTTAGACAATAAAACGAAGTAGGTGATTTTATTTCAATCATGTTTATGTTCTGGAGGTGCGAGAAATTCTCGTGATTTCAGTTCGAGTCATTCGAGGTTTTTTGGTCAAGGGCCAAAAAGTGAAAAGTCGAATTCTTTTTATTCGATTAGGATAATATATGTATAATTTTTTCGAACTTCGTCGCCATAGAGGCTGAACGTCGTAGCCCGAAGGCAGTTATGGCACTGTAATGCTGTGTTAAAATTAAATACCTCTCTTACCTTATACCTCTCGGGCAAGAACCCTGTTTGAAATAAAAAGAGGTACTAGTTCTCTTCACACTCACCTACACGCTAATAGAGAAGGTAGTGGTGTGTGAAGCATTCTGATGCTGAAGGTGTATTATATTTTATTATATATGTATATACGTAACTGAAGATTCTTTGAAATCATATTATTTTTACCATTTGCTTTTTTTTTTTGGAATTAAGTGTTACCGTTTCTTTTAATTCGTGGCAATAAATGAAGTGAAAAGTATAATTGGCCTTGTGACGTTATTGTTTATAGTTTCTTTTACATTAACCCGTAAAAGTCTACTAAAGGACTTGGGCCACCCTTTTTATATATGAGATTTACCATACCATTTGGCAAGATTGACGATCACATACCTTCAATAGCTTTTACGCTGCGCTTATTTCCGTCACCAATCTGTTTTACTTGTTGCATAATGAGACTTTGAAATCGCTATCGGAGGCTATGAGTTTTTTTAGACATTTCATATTATGTACAACATTACGAAATGGGGTGATGGATTATTATTGTAACATTTGATAATTTTTATGTATTTAGGTAGCAATAATGAGAATTTTAACTGTATCATGCAACAGAAAAAATAATTCTATTATATTAGATTCGATAGACCACAAATCCTTGCAAAGAACACCAATTCCTATCAAGGATGATTCGCGAGGATCGGATTCTGCGTAGATCTGAACAAAAAATAATATTCTTAAACTGAAGGTAGCCAGGCTAACTATGACATTAGGACGTAAGTCCCTCAGTCCCCCCCCCCCCGTGATCATGTGTACTGTAAAGCACCCGAAACGTCGGGAATTAAAAAATTAAATTAATCGTTTCATTTAACAATATCCTAAACGAAATCTTACCCTATCATGGTTTTCACGTAAATATAAGAAATAAAGAAAAAAACTATTTAAATGGAACTCTGAAACGACATCCATCTACATCCATTTAAAACAGCACATTGATTAATGACCCTATAAGGTCTTAGTCCTGGTAATTACTTTTTTACTACAAAAACTGTTTAAACTGAGTGCACATTATTTTCTATATTTTTGTTATTTCTGTTAATCAAAGTAATCACCCCTGCAATTGATACATCTTTGCTTAAGTGGCAGTTTATTGATCCCTTCTCGAGGAAATCTGCAGAACGTGGGGAAAAAAATTCTGCAAAGGCATTTTGTACTCCCTCTCGGGTATTGAAATTTCTTCCTCCAAAAATTTATCTAAATTCTGGAAAAAATAGAAGTCTGTAGGCGCAAGGTCTGGTAAGTACGGCAGTTGACGGATAGCTTCCAATTCCAGCTCTTGTAACGTGGAGACCGTCTGTTGTGCACTATGAGGTCGCGCGTTGTCGTGCAGGAGCAGCAGAGACGAGCGATTGACCAATGCTGGTTTAAGTCGTGCGAGCTTCTCCATCATTGTGTTCAGTTCTTCACAGTTTGGTAAGAAGCTGTAATGATTCTCACCGGCGCCAGACTGCCAAACAGTGACCATCACTTTTCTAGGGGTAAGTTTTCGTTTAGGGTTGTTGTTTATGTACTGAAACAGGATCCAACTGACTAGCTGAGCGTTTGCTATTGTCAAACAGAATCCATTTTTCGCAGATAACTAAGCGGTTCAAAATGTCACCGTTTGTTGCCTTTTTTTGTTATTGTTCATTCCTGTTGAGAAGTGCAAGGCACGTCTCGGCGCGTACTTCGTTCTGGCGGTCATTGAGTTCGTGGTGCCCCAAATGTTACATAAGTCATTGACACTATGCACGGAGGCAAGCACCACATTTTATAGGTATTTTATAGGTTTAAATTAGCTAAAGTCCACGCTCACCCTGACTCCTACTTTCCCGAATGTATTTTTGGAGTACACTGACCACCTTCAGTTGTTAGGGGTTGAGTTTCTTCCGAAACTCAACTATGGGTGGTTCATAGGGTCCAGAGCCAAAGCAGTCGCAAGGAAACTTGGTGTTCTTACAAGAGTGTGGCGGTACTTCACGCTGGAGCAACTTCTTACCTTATATAACGCGCAAGTCCTACTATTTTCGAGTGTCCAGTCAGTATGCCGTTTTCGATGAAGACTAACTCCGTACGGTCCAACGAATTTATTCCTGCACAAAACATAACAGAGTCACACTATAAGGAATTATTCTTCAAAAAATGCCTCTGCAAAGCGTCCTCCTTGTCTCATAGCACTCTCCGACGTCGGTATTCGCCTTACAGATATATCCTGGCTTCTTCACATAACAATACCCTATCCTAGTCTTCTTGAGTCCATGACATACAATTTCAACGAAGCTAAGCCTGGCAACTCGGTGCTCACGGAGTTATTTAGGGCCGCAGCCTAGGCGATGACTACATATATTAATTTCTTGGAGGCAGTTTTTGAGGTCCACATACAAAGATTTGCTATTTTTTCAACGGTGGCACCAGAAAACCTTGATCCCGTGGTACATGGCTTTCTTCCAGATCCAGGCCTTCTCTTGACTGAACTGGTCTCTTGATAGCTCCACCAGGTCCTTTGGACTGTCGAACCCCTCAGAATTAGTCTCTGAGCCATGAAGCGTTAAATACAACCCTCAAGCAGCGCAGTAATTTTGCCGGATTTTATCACTTTATCTTCTATTTTCGAGACCGCTAAACAGTAATAACAAATACTCTAACCCTTTTGCTGTTCCGTGAACTACATATAGTTTATTTCAGTGAAAGCGTTAAAATGTTAAGGAAATGAGTTAATTCAGTAAAAAAGGGGTCAAAAAGTTATTTAGATTTCATGTTCACTTTCAGGAGTTCGCGCCACAAAATGTAGTTAAAAGTTGTTTTTATAATAAATCAAGCGTACAGCCTAGAGTAGCAGTGCCAGCCTCGTACCGGTAGGCGAAATGTAGGGCGACCCCCCCCCACTAGATGGAGTGATGATCTGGTAAGACGTGCAGGAAGTCGATGGATGCAGGTGGCTCAGGACCGTGCTTTGTGGCATACTTTGGGGGAGGCCTATGTTCAGGAGTGGACTTGTGAAGGGCTGTAATGATGATGATGATAATCAGTCACAAATCAAGAAATTGAATTTGGGACATAATTTTTAAACCATAAAACAGTCCACCTGATAGTAAATAGCTACAGTTCAGACACACGCTAACAACTACAAACGAAGAAGTACTTATGCGTTGTCACCTCGTAGAAGTTGGATGATATGCTTCACCGCCTTTGTTACACTGACACTACATCTTATTCTTCTTTACTTCGAAACGAATACACGACACTTTGGCTTCTGACGTAAATGCGAGACGGACATTTAGGTGTTTTTAGTTACTTGTAGAATAAATATTTGTTTATTCACAAATAATTGTAATATATTTTGAATAAATAAACGAATTGTCTTTTTGTAGAGTAAGATCCTTGCTGGTCGCAGCAACAACACTCCGCACCAACAAATGACAGCTCCATTCTCCGAAGCCTATGCTACGTCGATGACGGCAGAGCTTATGGTCATGTTGAAAAATCTGACGGGTATGTCTGTATGACATATTAGGTGGAATTGTGTATGTTTTAGCTTTAGAACTTTTTGTTTGTGTCATCATTTTGTTTAAATTTTGTTTTATTATATGATATGCCAAATAATGTCGCCGCCATGCTGTAAACAAGGAAATGTTTTCATTTTGCCACAGCAAATGGACTAGTAAGATTTTATATTAGATTTAAATTTACTTTATTTTATTATAATCCAAGTAGTTTTCATATTAATATGTTTATGTATGCCAATAATAATAAAATACCGGTCTGAAGTCGTCGAGCACACTGCTTATATAGCCTGTAAAAAGCGTCCACTGTAGGATCCGGTAAATTTTTTAAAGAATATTCGTGATTCCTTTACTCTGTTTTTGTCACCAATCAGGTATTGTCAATCCCAAAATTATGTCAAATATCTATCGCAATATAGAGTATTGACTTGACATATGGAGCAATGCAATATAATAATTGTGTTGATATTTTATTTTATGATACCAAATATTATGTTCTATCCTTAGTTATGGCATAAATTTTAATTTTTTTTTAATAGAAGACGGGGCAAACGAGCATGCGGCTCACCTGATGTTAAGTGATTACCGCCGCCCATGATCAACCGCAACACCAGGGGAATTGCAGGTGCGTTTCCGGCCTTAAATAGTACTGTTTATACATTACATAAATATTTTCAATTCATGTTGGATGATTATTAAATTTAAGAAATATAAGGATACAAGTGTAAGTTGTTTGCATTGCTGGCGTCATAATATTTTCTAATTTATTTATTTATCGTTTTCGTGTATAATTTACATGTAATAACTCATTTTCGAGACCAACAAAAATAATAGATCAAATTCTGTTTTGTTCATTACCTATGCAATAAAGCTGTAAAATAAATCTTAACTAATACCATGCCCTTTAATCATGTGTTGCTACGGCGAAAAAATTCTGTTTATAAATCCTCATTATTCCTTCTTCACAAAAATATACGAACGATAGGTCGCAATATGGCGAAACTAGAACATCTCCTTCATTCCATTTTCCTAATCCAAATTTATTCGTTGCATCCAGTAAACGCAAATAAAAGTTATAGCGCATTGCTTCGCTTTTAACTCACAGCTGGCGTCATTTTGTATACTAAATTTATTTCATTACTACGTTAGCATGAAAGGTATTTTCTGTCCTTAATTTTGCTCTGTGTGTGAGATGTGTTCATTGAATATGTAAATACACTGCGAACGCTTCACTTCGTCCTTGATGCAACCGACGAGCTACATAATATTGAAACTACCGTCTTACAAACATGCCGCTAATTAAATTACCTATACATAGCGTGCGGTAAAACCATACAAATTATATAACAACCGTACATATAAAGGTATATGAATACGATGTATCGTGTACGGACTGGAAATTATGCATATCTTAACTTTTTGAATTACGCACAATGACTAATTCACTGCCAAATATTGTATTCTTTCTCTTTCTCTCTCTCTCTCTCTCACTTTCTCTCTCTCTCTCTCTCTCTCCCTCTCCATTGAATATAAATTTATATGGATTGCTACGTTTGATAGACGCGTTGTTTTTTATAGAATAAGGGTGACAAACGAGCACACAGTCCACCTGATGGTAAGTGGATGCTGTGGCCCATAAACATCTAGATTTATCCTCGATTAAGAATCAAAACGCAGATGCGTTGTCACCCCTGAGGACTAAGATGAAATGCCTCGTTTCCAGTTAAAGAATCCGAATCCCTGCACTCACCATACGAAATACAGCAGTATTAAGCTGCTATTTCACGCTGGTGTTTTGTGAGAGCGTGGCCCTGTCCCGGTCGAGCCGACCCATTCGTGCTACAACTATAATATAGCTGCAGCGTGGCTCTACCGCGTGCAAAATGTACAAAATGCCGAAACAAAAACTAAATTGGTCACACAGTTGATTTGTATTAATTGTGTAAATTTCGTGGCGATCAATTAGTGTGTTCGTTGCACTCCGAGAAATGTTGGTTCGAAGTATCCTTAGTACTTCCTAATTCTATGAAAGGTTGCGCTCTACTTCCGAATTCCGTTTTACGTACTTGAATCAATGTCACTATTTCGGATCATAATATTCACGGACCAAACTAACCACGATATTATTTGTATTAACGCTTGTGCACTCCTTCCAAATTGAATCCGAGCTCCCACGCGGGTGTCGGCGGTGGAGAGTAGTGATTGAGTGTATTGACCGAATCGATACTTTTTGGTGCACTTTTTCCATTATAAACGTAGCGGTATACTCTTTGGATAAAGCACGCTCTACTTGTTACAATGTTCCCCTACGAACCTACGATGCTTCTACTTTGATTGAATGTGTCGAAAATAAACTCTGTTTACGGGACCAATCGATAGTTGACTACAGAAGATAAGGAATGCGCGAATAGAGGTTATCATAAAATTTCTTGGTATCTTGCCTCAATTCATCGTGATTATTCTAATATGCTCCTCTTAAAAGTACCTATGTTCATTAAAGTAATGTGTATTAAGTTCTTATTACGCCTTCGTCTTAGTACGTACAGTAAGAGTGCCAAAAGCTGGCTGTGATTGTAGGAGATAAAATTAAAGACGTAAGCACTGTATGCAAAAAGCACCAGAAGAGCAGAATGGCCTAAATTTTCGAATCACAAGTTTACAAGCAACAATCGTATTTTTTTTTTTTTTTTTGGATTCGGATCGGACACAGTGCGCTGTTAACCGCGGATTTCAGTCGATACTTCCTTGGATTCGGATCGGATGATAAACGAAAAGAATAGCATACGAAACATTAATGTTATATTCACATAAAATATCAAATATTATGCAGAAAAACTGTTGAGCCTGTTTATGCCCGGTACCTATAGGTACCCAGATTACAGCAAAGTTGTGAAGAGAAATAAACCGAGTTCTCAGACCAGTGAGAGAAATCCCATCTGAAATAGAATAGTTGTGTGTGTGAATTTCTTACTGCAGGCATGCATGCGAACAAGCAAATGAGTGGAACTTCCCATATCCCAGAATCAGTTTTTAAATACAATTATAATGTCCATTTTCCGCTGCATCACCACTAGTTATGAAAAAACAATGTAGATGAAAAATTTAAAATCACACACATACACTTTAATTTACATAATGTTACAAGTTCCCACTACAAGTACTTTTGTAACACTGCACATGACATTACATGACTTTATTGGTCTACAGGAACAAAGGCAGCAATGGGTATGCAACCGAAAAATCTTCAGCTCTTACGTACCCCCTTCGTGTTTCAACTGCTCCCACATCTGATGAATGATCCACTTAGCCTGCGTCCCTCTTACCACATGAAATCTGGTCGGGTATTTGTCGATGTTGTTATAGGCATACCGACTGTTAAACGAGATAAGGAAAGCTATCTTATGATCACTCTGACGGTAAGTAAATAAAGTATTTTTATTTATTGTTATAAAATAATAATTTATTTTTATTTCGTTATTTCGAGATAGAAATAAGTCAGCAAAATAAGATAATTTTATTCTGTTACGTTTTTTGTATCATATAGTAGCGCTGTAAGAATACACTAACCCATCCCGTGGTTGACCTAAAAGCCGACAGCATCTTCCTCAACTTCCAAAACTTCCAACAACACAACATAACAAAATATGTACTGCCGTTACCTATTCGTCTGCTAAACGTGGCAACTATGAGAAATATCCCTTATCCAACTAAGAGGCAATCTATAGATGTGGCCCGTGTTCAGTTCACCTTTTGATAGACTGCGGTGATAGTGATGACGTTTCTACTCGTAACAGAGTTAAAAGTAAATTCTTCTTTAAAGTATAATCTTTTTGGATAACTCGTGATCTTTTGTATTTTATCTTTATAGATATCGCATGTTTGTTTAAATATTCATGGGTTTTTAGAAAATTTAAACATGATAAAATGTCAATTTGTGATCAAATTAACTTGATTAATAAGCTTTAATATGTGAATATAAATTCATAATCAGTAACCAAATTTTTCAATTCTTGTACATTCTAGATCAAACTTTCGTTTGCTTTTAAGCAGAACACTTGAGCGATGATAAAAATATTTATATATTACATATTCTCACGTATTACCAACGAAGGAATAAATTGAATAAGTCTTTTTGTCGTTAACTACAATAATTCTGCTTGTAAAATTATAGCGCTGTAAAATGATGTTTTTTGTACTTCATTTGTAGTTATTCTAAAATATACCAAACATTGAGTAAGGAGATATTCATACAAATTTTCTTAACGTTCGATCGAACACAGTAGTACTTTTAATCCGATCATTAATCAATCGGCCGAATACAAATCTTGCCCATACCATAAATAATCTAGAACTGTAGTATTTTTAGCTTATGAGATAATCGGGGCATGAGCAATACATTTTTATAATAGGGTTGTAAAAAAAAAACATCAGTCTACCTAAAGGAAATTGGTTAGTATTGTTGCATGGGAGCCTACAAAAATTTTAAGTAATGAAAACGATTCACTGTTGGAATAGGTAAGAGGGTTATCGGACTCCTAGGCATAAAAGTAGCTTGCTAAGTCCCTCAAAGCTCAGTTTGAAAATTTAAAAAAATAAAATATGTTTATACTTGGACTTCGTTATCTCGTTTTTCGAATTTAAAGAAAAACATTTAACCACCTGTAGGTTGATATAAAAAACTGCATTATTTAACTTTGGGAATACTTTTATGTTCTTAAAATCAAATCAATAAAACTTTCCAGTAGTATACTATTTATGGCCCTTCCTTACCTAAAAAGTGAATAACAAAACCATTAACAAATAGGGTCCAGCGTAAAACCAAGAAATATTTGTATTCTCCTCATTCAGACCCACCCAAGCAGGAGTGCTAAAGAGCTCGGTGTTCTCCCCAACTTTCTACTAACTCTGCGTGAGCGATATCCCAATGTTACCCAATACTCCTTTTGCACTTTATGCAGATGATACTACCGTATATACCTCTCCTCTGATAGTAACCCTCTTAGAGTTTGTATTCGATTCTAAGCTGAAGAAAACGCACGAAGCGATTGGTGCAAAAAATGGAGAATTGAATTAAATCCTGATAAAAGCATATCACGATTAATATATATGACATACCATCACGCGTTGAAAATAATTTTCTTCGACTTAAGCGACACAAAACAGATACAATCGCCCTGTATAATAGCCCAATTTCATAGGTAGAACTAGAAGTCACCAAAGAAAATATGATAATTAAAACTTTTCACATTATATAAAGCAGTTAGAAATAAGACGATTTTTGTTATACATAACCTTTTCTACTGAATTAACTTCACTTCACTCTAATCTACACGTAGGTGGGGAAGCTGCTCAAAGTCCCCACTCTCCCCAGTAGACGTCCAAAGAACATTCTTCTTGATCCCGATGACGATATAAAAGTTCTACAACCCCCTTTTCCGGGGCAGTAACACGATCCGTTAACACTGACACATACACAAATGTTTAAACGTAGTGCACATACATATTCACACAAGTCTTTGGCCTGGCAATGAAAAAACGATTTTATTATTCGACATAATCTCCATCTAGAGTAATGCACTTCTTCCGCGTCAAGTCCCTCAAAATAGGCAAACTTTTGATTTTCGAGCTCATTTGAATAAATTCTCTTCCCGGTGAGCCAATTTTCTAACCAGGGAAACAAGAAGTAGTCGCTGGGGGCTAAATCAGGCGAATACGATGGATGTTCAACTACTTCGTAACGTATTTCCTTCAATTTATCGGTCGTATTGCGAGCAGAATGAGCTGGAGCGTTGACTTGGTGAAACAAGATTTTGTTTTCTAATTGAGGTCGTTTAGACTTGATTTAGTTTTTAATAATAATAATAATAATAATCTTTATTTGCAAGAATATGGTTGTACAATGGTTTTATAGGATAGGGTGACAAACGAGCACACAGTCTACCTGAAGGTAAGTGGTTGCTGTGGCCCATAGAGATCTACATCCATCCTCGATTACGAATTAAAATGCAGATGCGTTGTCACCCCTGAGGACTATGATAGAATGCCTCGTTTCCAGTAAATTGAGTCTCCGGTTCTCTACACTCACTCTTATTAGGGTGCTTCGGAACTGCAGTCGGCGCTAAGCAGCGGTACACCACCGGCATAATCGGCTCATGAGCTTACGTTTTCGCTTATGAGTCTATTTCGGTGAAGTGAAAGCCGCAGGGCCAACAACGTCACCTTTAGGTTAGAAGTTTTTTTGGGATGACAGGATAGCTTAAGCCTAGTAAGCTTAATATATATGCTTATACAGATTTTGTTGTTAGAAGAAGAACGTCGTGAGATAAGGAGAGATAGTATAGTTTAAGTTTAAGGCTAATTACAATTTTTTTTATAGAATAGGGTGACAAACGAGCACACAGTCCACCTGATGGGAAGTGGTTGCTGCGGCCCATAGACATCTACATCTATCCTCCGTTACAAATCAAAATGCAGATGCGTTGTCACCCGTGAGGACTGAGATGGAATGCCTCGTTTGCAGTAAAAAGGGTCTCCGGTTCTCTACACTCACCATATGAAATACAGCAGCATTAAGCTTCTATTTCACGCTGGTATTCTGTAAGAGCGTGGTCCTTCCCCGGTCGAGCCGACCCATTCGTACTACAACTATACTACTAATATAACTGCAGCATGGCTCTACCACGTATAAAAACTATACAATTCAATATCTCAATTACATTTAATTCAATTACAATTTCTCTAAAAATGTTTCCACATGTCTTAAAAAGTATTCAATTAAACTATATACGACTAAAAATATTTTTTTAAATATCGTGATTTTGAGTGATTCGTTTATCCGTCCTAAGACATCCACTTTAGGGTAGATACTTGTAAACGTGTGTTCGTTTATCCATCCAGACAGGGTGGATAATCGGAATTCATGTTTCATGGCTTTCCAGCCTTTTTACCCAGTTCAACAGAAAATGTATTGATACTATAATATATTACTGATTAATTTTAATAAACGAAAACTTAAACAAAAATCGTATTACTTATTTTTTAAATAATGAGAAATGACCAAGACCAATTATTATAGTTATTCCAGTAGACGTAATTGTATATCCTTGATAAATTCGTATCTTTTAATGTACATTTGCGATCGTTTTCTAAATTTCTTTGTTACAACAGGTGTGTTAGTGAAAAATTGAGCGTTTTTGCAAGCAATCCAAAAACTACTAAATTTGGATATTTGTCTTTTACTTCATTTGAAATAGTTTTATGCAAAGATTCTATTACTTGAGCCTTATCTTTTCATAGTATTTCACTACCACGTACCATTTGCAGATATACTATCATATTTCTATAAACGACTACAAAGGCGAGAGAGAAAATCGGAAGAAAAATAATATACGAATTTCGATTATCCACCCTAGGGTGAATTTCTTTCTTTCTGTTATTTCTATAATTAATACATGTTAATTTAAAATTTTCAACGCAGCACTTGATCAACGGCTTAAAAGAAGATGAACTCAGTTCCACTCTCATCGTCGTATTTATCGGAGAAACGGATTTGGAATATGTCCTAAGCACAGCTAGACAAATTGAAATCACGTGAGTATGACTTGTATCCGTTTTCAATATGATTGGGCTTGATACTGTTCAGTGTTATTTAAAAACAGCTAAAAACTATTTCAGTAACATCATTTTTGTAAAATAAATTTGCTATGTTAAACAAGAATCTATCGAAATACATTGTTTAATGTTGACCAAACAAAGTAACAAACTTTACAACTCACGATTTTCAGTACTTATTATATGAAGTAGTTGTCTTGCACTTAAATTAGAAAAAAGTAACTAAAAATACTAATATGATATGGCTATGAACGCCTGGTTAAATTGAAAAGCAATTCTAAAGGGAGAACACAAATAGTTAGTAACTCTTCGATACCATATTAATAAATTTACACAAAACTGTCGTTTTTCATATGACTACGATTTAACATTTTTATTTTAGTACAAAGATATATTAAATGCCCAAATTATTAGTTAATGAATTTCACAGTCAATCAGATTTCACAGATCTGTTTATCTTACATACATTGAGATATGATATAATTTATTTGATTCGTCACAGTCGGCGCTGAAATTGAATTTATTATCTGAGAGCTGTAGCAGTTTTCTGAAAGCTGCATTATTCTGCGTCATTCAAGGCAGCAGATTGCTTGACTGACTCATCGGTCAACGCATAGCGCAAACCGGGTAGACTTAGAAATCTGCAATTTATTATCTGAGAGCTGTAGCAATTTTCTGAAAGCTGCATTATTCTGCGTCATTCAAGGCAGCAGATTGCTTGACTGACTCATCGGTCAACGCATAGCGCAAACCGGGTAGACTTAGAAATCTGCAATTTATTATCTGAGAGCTGTAGCAGTTTTCTGAAAGCTGCATTATTCTGCGTCATTCAAGGCAGCAGATTGCTTGACTGACTCATCGGTCAACGCATAGCGCAAACCGGGTAGACTTAGAAATCTGCAATTTATTATCTGAGAGCTGTAGCAGTTTTCTGAAAGCTGCATTATTCTGCGTCATTCAAGGCAGCAGATTGCTTGACTGACTCATCGGTCAACGCATAGCGCAAACCGGGTAGACTTAGAAATCTGCAATTTATTATCTGAGAGCTGTAGCAATTTTCTGAAAGCTGCATTATTCTGCGTCATTCAAGGCAGCAGATTGCTTGACTGACTCATCGGTCAACGCATAGCGCAAACCGGGTAGACTTAGAAATCTGCAATTTATTATCTGAGAGCTGTAGCAATTTTCTGAAAGCTGCATTATTCTGCGTCATTCAAGGCAGCAGATTGCTTGACTGACTCATCGGTCAACGCATAGCGCAAACCGGGTAGACTTAGAAATCTGCAATTTATTATCTGAGAGCTGTAGCAGTTTTCTGAAAGCTGCATTATTCTGCGTCATTCAAGGCAACAGATTGCTTGACTGACTCATCGGTCAACGCATAGCGCAAACCGGGTAGACTTAGAAATCTGCAATTTAGACATTAGCTGTCTTTTAAGACGCAAGTATCCACTAAGAAAGGATTTTGGAAAATTCAACCCTTGAGAGGGTGAAATAGTGTATTACATTTTTGTCAAACTGTTTATTTTACTCAAGGGTAAAAAACATTGATAATGTATGTTTAAATTATTTATGTTTTTTTTAATGTGTTTATATGAAAATCATTGTATATAGATGCGAAATGCAATATGAATGAATATTATATGAAAATAATTGTATTTTGAAGGCAATAAACGTAGAAGCTTGACATTGGGACAAAAATTTACTTTTGTCATCCATTTCCCTTTGCATCACTGGTTAATATTATGGCAATTTGATACGTCGAATTACAAGACGATAATATATATATATATATATATATATATATATATATATATATATATATATATATATATATATATATATGTGTGTGTGTGTGTGTGTCGTGGACCCATCTTTTAGAACTTTTCAAGAAGAACAATTCAGCTATATATATTTCTTCAAAAGTTCTAAAAGTATATAACTTACTGACTATTTAATAATTTTATAATTATAATACTAGGTAACCATTTTTATAGAAAAATTCTCCCGCGACGTAATAATTTTGGTGGCGGTTGCCGCGTCGGTGTTGCGGCAAAGAAAATTTGCGGTGACATGTTGCTCTCTCTAGGTCATGAAATGCTATTATATTATCTAAATTTATTCAGAAAAAAGGAACCAAAATGTGTCAGGCCTGTATCAAAGCCAAGGGCTGCTAGTTTGATATAAAAGACTTGACTTCGATAAATATATGTACGCATAGGTTTTACAATTAGAAAACTGTTAGACCGACCAAACTTCGTTTTTGGGCCATTATTTCATTATAAATTTAAATTCTGTATTTCAGTATTTTTAAATTGCATTAATACGTGAAGAAAATTGTACTTGAGAAGGCTAATATAAAAAAAGAAAAAACACCTAAAAGTGAACCATATTTGTATTTTGTTTCGTTATAATTCCTAAAAAATAGTTCTACATTTCTTTCAAAGTATACTTGCTACGTAGTTAGGTTTACTTGTTGTTATTTTCAAATTAAAATGAAATAGAAGTCACAATATTTGTAAAGCCTTTGTGAAGCCAATTAAATTTTCCTTAATAATGTTACGCCACTGTACGCGTAACTAAGGGTAATCTAACGCTATTATCGCATAAGTACGTTTAAAAAATGCGCACCTATCGTTGCTTAGGATCCTTAGTCACGAGGGCTTTGACATGCTAGAAGTCAAATTGTAATAAATGGCCGAATGCTGTTTAGGGAAATATATGTTTAAGCTTAAATAAATGCAATAATAGAACACTATAATTAGAGATGGGCCGAATATTCGTTTCATATTCGGTATTCGGCATATTAGGCAGTTTTACCGAATATTCGTATTCGACCGAACATTCGGCTAAATCACCGAACATTCGTTATAGTGGTACTCAAAGTTTGCACTGTATTGTAATGTATGTTTTGAGTAATGCAGTACTTTTTGGATTTTTGAGTATAATATAGATAAGTGAAAAATACTTTTTTGTCAATGTTAACCGTTTAAGTGACAATCTCGCTGAATTAGCCTTATTAATTTCTTTCATAATTTTACTGTTGAAAGTATATTTTATTTATGGGTTAAATCTGCTTGTATAGCGTTATATTTTTGAGGCACTAGATTTATTTTCAATTATAGCAAATAGAAAGCTTGATAATAGGTTTTTGGAATCAAGCAAAGAAACATTACATTACATTAGTACATTTCACTTTACTTTGGTCGTCAGTTTCTCTGAAATAAGTCCAAATTCGACCCACCTCTAACTATAATACACAATTTAATAGCTTCCAACCTTATATTGTTCGAGAACCGGTGTCGCAGGGACAACACTTACGTTGTTAAGTGGTTACGTCGTTTTATCACTACTAGAAACCCAATTCGCTCATTGGTCATATAAATTTCATTAATTATAATTATTTAATTATCATTTAAGGATTATCATATTGTATGAAGTTTAAATAAATAAATAACTGTGTTGACAGACTGAGCGAATTTGCACATTTTAGACTTTTGATCGATGTTCACGTTCATCATTAAAAAAAGAAATCGTTTCGATTTTAATCCATATTTATTTGTAGTGTGTAAACTAATTGCAAATACAATGGTGGTAAGTGTTATTCTTAATTTCATTTAAAATAAAAAGTTGTTGAACACGTTTAAGATGCGTAAGTATCGTATTAGTCATTGCGTGTAAGGAAATTGGTATATTATGGTATCACAGCAAGTGATGTAACCTGTCAAGTAATTTACCGGTAACCGTTAACCAGTGCATGAAATATTTTAAAAATAAAAACAAATGTATATATATCCTATGACACTATTATTTCACAAAAAAATAAAAACAATTTTTTTATTATGGTGTCACAGCAAAATGATGTAGCCTTGTTAAGTAATTTACCGGTAACCATTAACCAGTGCATGAAATGTTTTCAAAATAAAAACAAACGTATATAATATATCTTATGGCACTGATATTTCACAAAAATATAAAAACAAAAATTTTGAATTAAATAAATAAATTATTTAAAATCTATCGATATTCAAATTTTGACCTTGATATGATTTGAATTTCGATTTTTTTCTACATTTATCTTATCGTGTCTAAAAAGTTGCAATAGTAGTGAATTTACCCAACATTAGGCGAGAGGAAAATCAGAAGAAAAAGTATAAAAGTACATGTTGTGAAATATATTTTTTTACTCTTGACACAAAATGGGTCTACTTTACCCTTTTTGTGTGACTGGGCGTGAAATGAACATACAGTAATATGTAGTAATGGTGGGTACGTTACCAGGAGATTGAGTCTAAAAAATTTATTGAAAATAAATATTTTCAGTGATCGCTATGGAAGGAAAGAAATTAAAATTTAATAAAAAAAATGTTATAACTTTTTTTTTCTAATCGTTGATCATTAAATTACTACTTTCCACGGTATTTGATCGCATCTGCAGACCAAATACAACTTTAAAAGCGACAATATTTCCCGGTTTAACGGTATCAATAAAATTTATTACATCCCTAGTACTATTGTTTTTACACATCAACATTTCTTTATTTTTATTCTAATATTCACAAATTATAAACAGTTTCAACTTATTGGGGAAAGGATATACGACTTCTATTCAAATTCTACATCCGGCTGTTTTTCCTACACGTAATTATCACACAATTTGGCATTTTTGAATTAAATTGCAGCCAGCAACGCTTGACATAGAAATTGGGCAGCGACTGTGACGTGAAAACAGATGTGTTAACTTTTAAAGTTGTGAATTGAAATGTTAGTCACTCCACGGGAACCGCCCACACCCCCATTCTATTGTGTATATACTGTATTGTACTATGCGCTATAAGGACCCGCATACTTTTATTTAATAAATTATTGTCCTTCAGGTTTCCACAACACGTAGGCAGTGGATTAATTGAAGTTTTGGCTCCTTCGGCCGCTTATTATCCTGACTTTAATATTCTCCCGAAAACCTTGGGTGACTCTTTAAAGCGTGTCAAATGGCGCACGAAGCAAAATTTAGATGCTATTTATTTGATGTCGTACGCTCAGACTAAGGGAACATTTTATCTGATGCTCGAAGATGACGTCATTGCTAGGAAGAATTATATGCAGGTAAGAAACTAACCACTTAATAATTTGTATATGAAATACGGTAAGTACCTGCGTCTTTCTCAATCTTACCGTATATCGTCATTAAATTAAGTATTGTTAATATTTATTTTCTTTACAATTTTTATGTACCTACACATTTACGTTTTGCAAGATTTTTCTGTGTTTTAGTCTTATTGCTAACATTATAGATAAGCGAATGTTAAACTTTTTTACAAGCTTAGCGAAAATGTTTTAATTTTTTTATGAATATTTGTCGATGTATCTTTTGTTCTTATAACATATACAAATGAATTTCTGCATCTGTGATAAGTCAGTCCCATAAAAAATAAAATAACAGTTTATGAAAATCCTAAAGCTATGAACTTCAGGTTCAAGCCCAATATAGAATAATAACAAAAAAGACATGGGTTTAATTTAGTAACCTACTGCTAAATTATTTACGATACATTTACGAAACCAAATCCCTCGATAATGAATGACGTGTCCCATCAGAAAACAAAGTACTTTATATGCATATCTTAAAAACAGAATAACACAATTACACTGTGTAAAGTTGCACGCAATTTAGCTTGTGAGATTACCGACATCAGAATATATAAATGAAATGCTATATAATTATTGCATAAATGTTTATGTGGCGATATGATCAATGAACTCCAACTAAACCAGATAAAAATGTAAGTGACAGTAAAAGAGGAGGAAGATTGAACAGATTATTATAAACAATGGACAAATTCTATAACAGACAGATTAGTTAAATATTTACTTCATCGGAATAATTTTAAACGAAAAAATAATTGAAACAAAGCAAAGTATTGACTAATAAGAATCGCGTATTGATTAACAAGTAGCTTGTAATCGGAGTCAGTACGATTGATGTAAACAACTTTTTGCTCTGTGTACTCCCCCGATTGACTGTAACTACGCTACGGCTTCTTATTGCTCTGTATGGTGGTTACGCAATGTAAAAAAAATATTGTATTTTTTATCTTGCAAGATGATGTTGTGACCAGGATTAAGAAAGGAATGCTTCGGTGGTTTGGTCATGTGGAAAGAATGGATGAGGAAAGACTGACAAAGAAAATTTATGTTGCAGAAGTGAATGGCAGAGTCGGAAAGGGACGTCCTAGGCGAAAATTTATCGACCAAATTGGCGATTTATTAAAAACGGGCCAAATTAGGAGTACCCTTAACCGACGAGCATGTATGCGTAGGTGTATGGATATGAAGGAGGCGAGAGAGGTGTGTCAGGATCGTGCCAAATGGAAGTCTGTGGTCTCTGCCTACCCCTCTGGGTGACAGGCGTGAGTGTTTATGTTTATATGTATGTTTATTTTTTTATAGGATAGGGTGACAAACGAGCACACAGTCCACCTGATGGTAAGTGGTTGCTGCGGCCCATAGACATCTACATCTATCCTCGATTACAAATCAAAATGCAGATGACTAAGATGGAATGCCTCGATTCCAGTAAAAAGGGTCTCCGGTTCTCTACACTCACCATACGAAACACAGCAGCATTAATCTATATAGTGTAAGATTAATAATAACCCATGGGAATGAATAGATCGCTACCATGCTGTTTCTAATTATGAAATACAAATGCTTTCATATTGAATTGTTATAACGTATAGTATTATAAATAAGTATTTAAAAAAGTCGTCCTGGGTTTTATACTGGTTATTTCCAGAAAGTTATTAACCATTTGTTAAAAATGTCTTTTCACTCTTTTAATCTATCTAATAAAAATTATTTGATTCTGATTTGTCGTTGCACTCCCGCCATTTAGATGAAAGCCAATTGATGACTCTCCTATAAAAATCCTGCGGACGAGAGTAGTTAAGATAATAATAATTCCGTAAAAGATAATGAAAACATGGCGATGTGGTTTGACTGCTTCTGCTGGAACGGACTATTGTCTCGAACGGCTATATTTTTCTTCACCTTATAATAATAATCTATGTCCTTTTCTCTTGTTAAAGAGCTAACAAATCCTCGCGCTGAAATAAATGAAGTTAGTCTCGATACTGTTTAACTAAGACGGTACACGGTACGCTATCGAATACGGAACCAGTAATTAACTTAGGATTCAATTACAGAGCGAAGTCGCCAAAGACGATTGAAATCCCTTGCATCGAACTCTGTGATCGTAATGGCTCGTAGCAATAATAAGTTTAAACTCCAGCTTCGGTTTTTAGGTTCATTGACTCATTGTCTTTATTTAATTACGATGAAGATGCGTTGCAACTATGAAAAATGAGACGTGTTACCTTCTAAAATTTTATTTTCAGATAAAAAAAAAACACTTCAAAAATTGTAACTTATGGCTAAATACTCGGTTGTTAAGTATCGTGGTGTCTCTATTACTTCACATCATAGTGACTGCGACACCACGAGGCTTGCTGATATTTTAAAATTGAACAGCGTTTGTGTGTTTGGGTAGGAGGTCGTTTAATATATTAATTCCAATCTTAGTGCATTCCCATCGAAATTAATTATACTCTATGAAGGCTGCCATTTATCGCTGCAGTGCGTCCTATATTATTTTTGTTAAAATTGGCTCTGAGCTTGACGGCTGCTTCGAAGAACTCAACGGTCACTGGTAAATCTAGATACGTACAAAATTAGTCCGTAGGGAGTTATTGAAAAAAAAAAGAGTTAGCATGAAACACAAATGTTTTGTGTGTAATGCCTCTAGATCAGTGGATATTTTAATATGCGGTGTATCCAGAATCGTGAGTTAGAATGCAAACTTATATAAAACGAGTATGACGGGCACATTTAGTCAATTATAATAACACCTCGAATTACCTTAATAGCTACGTGATTATTAATAGAGTGTCCAATAATACTCCACTCACTCTTCTTAGGCGATTTAACTAAAGCTTAAGCCAGTGGACAGTTGATGATGATAAATTAATCTCCAGGCCCCTAACCGGCTTAAAAAAAAACTGATATTTATATCACCATCAAAGCACTTAATACATCGTTTTCAGTTATATTTTACATACATAAGCATTTAATACACTTAATCGCACCACTTTTACGTATTAAAATCCACATAGAACAGGAACAGCAATCCACCAGCGGTCAAGTTCCCGCGAAAACTCCGTGATTTGAAATAAGTGTTTTTATTTATTTAAAGGCACAGAGCTATACAGCTCAGTCTGACTAATATTTTGTTAGTTAGATTATTCACGTATGCTGATCTGATACACTGCGAAGTTTTAGGAATATTTTGAAGATTATCCGAGTTTACCGGGGCAGTTGATGGGGATGGTGTTAGACATGGGACGAGTACTCGGTTTAGATTCGGTACTCGGCGGGTTCGGCCTTTTTTTAGGGTTCGGGCGAACACCGAGTATTAACGGCCGAGTACCAAGTATTAGGCCTTAATTATATTCCAGAAAAAAATAAAGATAAAAAGCCAGTTTTTATCATTATTATTATACTCGTATTAGACACATTAAAACATCAGGAACACGAGAAACAGCAGAAATATTGAGAACGTACATAAGAATCTGTAATAGAAATTATTATTACTAATACTTAAAATTTAAGAGAGGAAGATTGTGATGCAAAAACACTAGTTTTTCGGCCCTATTTGGGTATAGTTTGCTCCTTTTTGCGTCATATACTAAGCCCGCCTTTTAAAAAAGTCGTTCACTGTAAACTGAACTGGCGAGTGTTGATAAGTATTAATTAAGCCGCAACTTTTCCTAAGATGGGGTACTAGCTCTTATTAAAAACCCACCATTTATATGGATTTGCATCTCCTGCGGCTCTTGTCACTTAGGATCATTAGAATTCTATTTGAATTCTTAGGATCATTAGGTTGGCGACTGGTTGATGCGTCAGCAGCTTCTTTCTTTTTCAGAAGCATGTTTCGAATGAATTTTTTATGTGTTTCCTAAGATCAATAACTTATTTAGATGTTTTCCGATAAAACGATTATTATAAACAGTCATTTTCGCGCTAGATAACGAAAATAATCTATCGACATGAGTTATTTGCCAACGAATCAGTAAACACTCATCAACAGTGTCCGTGGGTGTGTGACTGATCGAGTATTGATACAAGTACCTTTCTTTCCAACAAAACACCAAAGTACTTGCTATCGAAAGAAAATTATCAAGTAAGTACTTGTATTTACTCATATCGTTTCATCACTAACTCTATGTACGGAAAATAACCGCGCGCCGCCCACTACCGCGTTTTTTTAAAGTCTAGTATTCGGCCGAGTACTCGGTGGCAGAGTACTCGGCTGACCACTACTCGTTCCATGTCTAGTGTTAGTATATATAGTAAATTTCAAGGCACCCCCGGAGCAGGTGTTACATCGTTTATCGTTTATAGTTCATATATGCATACACATACCTAATGAACAAAATCGCACGACTTTTACGTCAAAATCGCCACAACTCTTGACTAAAATGGGGTATTGATTCTTTTTTCTTCGTAACAAGGATAGTTGAATCATAAATTTCTGCCAATGCCAAAGTTACAAACAACATCACTTTACAACTGCGAACAAAACAAATCCTCTCTGCAGTGAGAGAGACACTTATCCATCAGAGGTCTTTTACGAGCGTTAATCTTTCGTTTAACGTGTTGTATGAGGAACAACTAAAATTTCTTTAGTTCTAAATTCTCAATAAATACAGATAAAATAGCGTAGTTAGTTAATAGAATAGTTATAACTGAATGACAATAGTAATATCGAAATCCGATAGTTTCTATCGCTTTAGTAGTGATAACCAGTACTATAATAGGTGACCGTTAACTTTGCTATGTCATCATCATCATCATCATCATCATCACCATTACAGCCCTTCACAATACCACTGCTGAACATAGGTCTCCCTCAAGGTATGCCATAAAGCACGGTCCTGAGCCACCTGCATACATCGACTTCCTGCATGTCTTACCAGGTCGTCACTGCATCTAGTGGGGGGTCGCCCTACACTTCGCCTACCGGTACGAGGCTGCCACTCGAGAAC